TTAATGAGGAAAAAAAATTAACTTAAATGATTTTAGCAAATGGCTGCAATATAACAAAGAGTGAAAAATTTAAGGGGGTCTGAATACTTTCCGTACCCACTGTATATATATGTGATCATGAAAATAATTGATTTCACCAGATGGTGGTTTTGTCAGATTTAGCTCACTTCTACAGAAAAAAAAATTGCACACATAATAACATATCTTCCTTTCATGAGCTACACTAATAAGAAATAATTTGGTCATTTTCATTGTTTTAGATATATACATATGTAACTAAACACACAGGGCTGTCTTTAAAGGTTAAAATGATTTACATAAAATGATAAAAAAAAATATTGCTTTTTTTTTATAGGCTACATAAAGTTTAGTCAAAGTTAAAGTTTGGGTTTAGGCCAGTCTGTAGTAGCTTATTATAAAAACAACAGAAGTCAATGGAAAGCCCCCACCACGATATGAAAACAAATGTGTGTGTGTGTGTGTGTGTGTGTGTGTGTGTGTGTATGTGTGTGTGTGCAGCTGGCTTGTTAGTGCTGAAGGAATGTAAGATGCATAGTCTGTTTGTGCTGGCTGTGATTCCTCTAGGATAAGCGGTCCAGGTCTCATCCTTTGCTCTTTAATCTACTGTACACCATTTCACATCCATGTGCGTCAATCCATTCATCCCTTTCTCATGCCTTTGTGCCTTGTAGCATGTCAGATGGAAAATTCACACTGTATGTGTGTGTTTGTGTGTGTATATATTTCAAATATGATATCATGCATAGCACTGCGCATATAGATCACATCTTGCATTTTGCAGCTCAGTGTGTGTGCATTGATAAAAACATGTTTGTGTGTGTTATCCACTGTGTTGCTTGGGTAAACAGATTAGCGCTACAGGCCTCGTCTATAATATCATTTAAGAGCTCTAAGCCGCGGCTTTCTTCCCCACTGATTCCCTCCTGCCACTGACCCTGTCTGAGCGCTCCTGACCTGTCCCTTATTCTTCCACGCTCTCGCTTTCCTTCTCTTACTCTCTTTCCTGCTTTGCGTGGAGATAAGTCTGGGCTTAACCCCATCGCTGACATCACGCTCTCATAGTCCTCCTAAATCCCCCGCAAAACCCTGGGTGCCCTCACTTTAGGAAGACATCCTTTGTCTTTCTTTCCCTCCGCGATATGGATTTGTCCTTATGGTCTCCTAACCGCACGCCACGTTCACATAAACACTCACTCATAGTTTTTAGAGCCCTCATCCACATGTGTAATGTGGATATAGTTTGACTTTGTTGACCCTGTAGCTCCATTAGCAATAGCGAGAGTACTCCGATTCCTGCCAAACAGGGAGGGGACATGTAATCACACGTGTAATGTTTAATAAAGTGCGCACCGTCCCCTCCATAGGGCACTTCGGACAGGGACCTTATGCTTTTAGAAGAGATTGGACGGTACGTTGCAAATGGCGTGGCTAAGAGCACTTCAATTAGAGAGGGCTATTACCACAGTCAGCATGAGGAAGAGGGCAACGCTCCAAGTGTCTGATGGGTAGGATGAGTTTAAGTCACAGCACAGAGCCTGACCTGTCACATACTGCTCTGCTTAATAACTACATTGTACTTTTAGACACATCAAACCGGCTGCTAATGAAACTGTAACTGAGATGGAAAGAGTACAGATGACAACGTGGAAGAACGAGAGAGTAGCTGCGCTCTGATTCACAGGGGTTCTATGCAGTGTTCATTGCTCGCTATACACACTGAGCAGGATATATCTGTTGAAGTTCACTTCACTTGAAAAAATGCCCCATTTGGGAATGCTGCAGTGTCATCAAACACATGAGGCACATCGCACAGGTATACATCTACATTACCATTCTAAAGTTTGGAGCCTGTGATTTTTATTTTTATTTTATCTTTATTTTACATTTTAAAATATATTTTATTTCCATGATTTCAAAGCTGAATTCTCCGCAGCCATTACTCTAGTCTTCAGTGTCACATGATCCTTCAGAAACCATTCTAATATGCTGATTTGCTGTTAAAGGAACATTCCTTTTATCAGTGTTGAAAACAGTTGTGCTGATTATTTAATATTTATATTCAGATTTTAATTTGAATATTTTATTTCTTTAAATTAATAGAATTTGTATGATCAAAAAGACAAACATTTACAATAAATGATGGCTGTGATATGTAATAAAAAATTACTTGTGTGATTTTATTTTAAAATTAGTGTGTCTTTTTAACTGCTTCTTGACCCATGGCTATGATGATAATATTGTAATGGTCACATCTTGTGTGCTTTATACCCACAAGCAGCTGTGAAGAATTCACCTCATCCCTGTGTTTATTTTTAACAAATTATTCTGTGATATTCAGATGGTTTGCAGTGACTTCTTGGAATTTTTTTCTCTACATTTACTGTGATGTGATGTACTGATATACTATTGTTTCCTGTGCATTTTGCAGTGCCCTTCGGACTGAACACAGTGAGTCAAATAGCCTGTAAAGTTCACTTTGCAGTGCACTAATGGGTGATTGCAGCTTACCCAAGCCGTGAAGAGGGGTAAGAGTGAATGTCAGGCCGAAAAAGAAGGAGAGCAATGAATTAAAGCAGCAGTCGAAGGGTGATGGGGTTGGGGTTGGTGTAGGCAGGGTTAATGTAATCCTCAACAAATTGACCTTTGACGTCGGTCTGTCTAGGGGTCACATCTGTCCGCTCACCTCTGCCCTGTTAATTAACTCTCCTGCAGGGTCGCCCAACTTGGACACTCAGCCGTTAAGCCGTTTGCGTTATTCTCCTCAAATCTCAGCTGAGGAATGATTCACAAAAATGAAGCCCGTTTCGCTCGACGTCAAATTAAATACAAAACATCCACACGGGAAAGTGCTCTTTCCAATCAGACACCCACTCAAAATGCAACGATCACAGAAAAATGCACTTTAATAAACGAAAGAGCGTTTGGGAAAGTCTCTGCAGCCTCTCATTGAGTTCGAGTCACTCCTAAAAGCACATCAAACGAAATCAAATTGCCCCCCAGTGTTTGCAGTGATACTTGTAGCCTAAGTCACTAGCGCTATTGATTTAAATGCATTTGACTAGCTGTGAGGGTGGTTTCAGATGAATGATAGCGGCGTGCAGAGCGAGCGGCTGATCTGGAGTCAGCACTAACTGCAGCAGCATGGCATTAGAGCATGTGGCATGTGCGAGTATGGTATTACCCACACTCTCAGTAAATGAGACCAAGTCAACGGCACCAGCCATCAATTATTCAGAAGCTGAGATGGCAATTATGGGACTGAGCACAACCAATATGAATATTTTATGAAGGCTAACGCAGACCATAAGAGTGTGAGAGGGGGAGAGTGAGAGAAAGAGAATATAAATGTGTCCATTTCTGGGAGACACAGCTGATGCCAGTTCTTGCCATGGAGCGACACTCAAAGTGCCATTCGGTATGGCATGATATCTTTCTTCATCCGCTTTCTCCTCACCTTACACCATCTTATCTTCATTCCCGTCTCCCAGAATGCCTCGGTGAGACAGCAGCATGGGCTTGGTCTTAATGGGAGCAGGGGCAGATGTCCTCTCAAGGCAGTTCTCCATTACCTCTACTGTGTGGGCATGATAGGAATGTTGCAGTTGTTTAAAACACAGAGTTTGAGTTGCGGCTAATTGAGTAAGGCGACACCATGTTGATGAGTGATAGGCTAATCTTCTGAGCGGCAGCGTTAAAGCCGGGCGGCCCTGTAACTTGCTGTCCGTTTCAGCCTCTGTTTGTCATTCTCTCTCTCTCTCTCTGCCCCCCTTTAGAAAAGCATATCGCTCATGCTTTGAAAATACACAAGTGCGTCGGTTAGCCTCTCTCCTGAACGGTCTCTAATATGCTCATAATTCCTTCAAGACCAGATACTGCAAATAAAATAATAATAAAGCAAGTAGAACAATCCGACAGCTACAAGTCTAACCTTCCCCTCCTTCCGCCTTCAGGCAAGCAGAGACCAGTAGGCATGTTGTGCTGACAGCTCTAAAATTGCTTACAATACACATCTCCAAA